TCACTGAAACGCTGCACAGAAGCTGCCAGCTTAAACAAAACGTGGTCTTGTAACTAAATTGAGAAGTATCTCAATAAGCGATGCAATGTATTCGCAATGCATACAATCCACAGTGTTATTTATTATAATATACAAGTTTCAAAGTGAAGGAGCTCTAACCAGCAATGTGAGAAGTCTTACCTCGAACAGAACAGAGAAGGAAGTGGACGAGCTAACCGGTCCGTCTGGCTTTTATGTCCCCGGTGAAGGACTCCTCCCACCCGGCAAAATATGACCGGGAAAACTGTCTCTGGGATTTCCACGAGCTTAGCTTTGGAAAAAAATAAAATTTGACAAAGAAAACTGTTTTATTTATGATAAACTGACTGTCACTGTTTGTGGACAGAGGACTTACAGCTGAAGTCCAAAAGAAAACCTACAGTTTATTTTTTATTGCGTCATTTCCGTTAAGAAAAATAAAATACATTGTTTACATCCACAGGGTGGAAGCAAAGATACTGAAAAAGCAACATTTTCTTCCCAATTCGAGATGTATTTACCATAATACAGTGGGAATTCATATTACGATAAGAAAGCGGGAAGTTTTCTTTCATTAAAATAATATTATCAATAATAGGAGGTACTTTTTATTTCTTCAGTTTTAACACAAGTTTCTGTGGTTCAAATTAAGCAGCCTTACATCCATTTATTACAACCTAGTACCGTATGTATGAGTCTAGATTCATATCTTATATTGTCATCTGCCAAATGCACTAAAAACTCCAGAAAGCTTTTAGATCATATTTACATACGATATCAAAGTTCAGCAAGTTAATTAAAGTTAACCGTCATCATGATTTGAGCATTCTCATCGGTCCCTTTTTTAAGCTGCTCGGTGTCATGGCACAGTGGATATGATGATGTGATGATGTGTTTTACATCTTATTCATTCTGACTCATTCATACAGCAATGACTCTGACATCAGCTAATTCAAATCCAGACAGATCCATTCATTCATCCCAAAACATGAAAATACAACCAGTACAATAAATTAAGTCTTTATTTATTCAGAAAAGTGCTTGTTGTTATGTCCCATGACTTCAGATGCTTTGATTAGGATACAAAAGGATTTTTATGAAAATTAACACATTTTTAGACAATCATATACAACCACAACAAGTTCTCTCAGCTATTCAGTCTAGTTTGCAAGAGGTAATATACAAATCTGATATAAAGTGGATAACAGGGAATTACAATAAACATTATATTTTCATTGTAACAAGGGTAAATAATTAATATATTGAAAATCTCCTGAATTACTTATATGATGTCTTCTTTCCACCAGTTGCATGTTGAATGCATGTACCGAAGTTAACTCTGTTTTGACCTTTAAAGTGCCAATTAGTGATGTTTTAGGCCACTAAAATTTCTTCATGATGTGCAGCTGCAACGGTAACAACCGAAACAAAGGTTGATTTATAACCAGGCTATAAAAAATATCTCTTTCTCTCTCTCATTTGCACACACTCTCCTGCTTGTCCCTTCAGGTTATATAATCTTCACCAGAACACACAGTGAGGAAGTCGAACACTGACAAGTTGTACTCTTGTGTATTTCTGTGCACACAGGCGGCAAACCCCCTGTTTGAATCTCTTAGCATTGGTAAAAAAAATGCAATTTAAAAAAAATATTCAGATAGAAAAATGTGTGCGTTAATCACTATCACAATGTCTAAATACTGATTCACTGTGTGTGCGTGTCTCTCATTACTGATTAGCTGTCAGGCAGCAATAAATGACACTGATTAAGATACAGAAATGTCTCCAAAACTAAAGTCCACTAATCAGTCATTGCTCATGCGGTTGTACATTTTCCATTCCTTTTGGTGGCACATCAACACTTTAGTAGTTTCACAGTGCCAAACCAAAGGATGCAAAGACTATTTGTACTCTAAGCTCTTGACAGTGGACCGAATTTAAGGAGCTGAGATGTTAAGACCTAATTTGAAAGTGGCAACATCGTAGAGGGGAACCAGAAGCAGCTCAACTCAGTCACATGAAGGGCTTTTCCATTCAAGCCCATAGACTTCACCGTAAAAGCAACAGCAAAACTGAAACCCTGCTGTCTGTGTGCAAACTAATGTGTACCATGAGACAAGGCAATAAACTGTATGATGAGCAATTAAGACTCAGTAACTTGCATGACTAAGTAATGTTCCTGAGGCCTAATGTATGACTCGCATCATGTGGTCTCTGTGATAGCTGATGCTGTGAGAAATGTCATTCAGGCAGGACAGCCCACTTTGCATAATCACAATTCGATCCAACTAAATATTAGAAAGGGGTTAGTTTGATTGTCCATGTAGCTCGCCAGTCTCTACTGAAACTCAGCCAACACAGAGTTGTGTTGCACTTTCTTCTTCAACGACGGTGAGGAAGATGGCGGTGAGGATGATGATGTCACAGGTGCGAGCTTGACACTGTAGAGGTTCGTGATGAAGGCCTCCCAGCCGCGACGGAAGGCTCGGTCCAAGGCCTGACGAGAACGAGAGGGTAAAGGTTAACGATCCATACACATGATCAGAAAAAGGCATTAAACATTATAATTGTGTTTATGTTTAAAGTGGTGGGATTAGCGTGGTGAATTCCTGTTATCTTTTTGATTGCTTCTCTTTCTCTGTAGCATTTTATAGGTCTCTATTTTGTTAATAATTAGTTTTTTTAGGAAGTTATAAAGAACATTATAGGGAATATAAAGTATCACTTCTCAGATTTATATTTCGTGAAGTTTTGTGTTCAATTTTTGAGCAGTTGTGGATTTCCTTGAACAAACATAACTTTATATTCATATATATTAATTATTGAGGCAAACTTTATCCTCCACACATGTTAAATTGTCACATTTTCGCATGTTCAGCTGACCTGCTGCGTCCTGACTGAAAGGCTCTTCAGTTTAAAGTCGCAGTTCATTGGAAATAAGTGGAAGTATAGAAACTGTCACTCTTGTATCTGTGGACGATGACCTGAAGATATAAAATTCTGTGCATCATAAGCAAAAAGCTAATAGAAAAAAAACTAACATTTTGTACCCCTCAGATATATCTTGGATGGGAACCACTGCTCTAAGCCTATTGCTATTGTGACTATAGTGATTTTACACCGTTTAAGACTCTTCAACATTGAACAGCAACAGGAATTCTCATTTTCATTGACTTACACATCAAACTAATATTGTGCAGACACAGACTCAGAGGTCAGCCTGTGAGGCCTGAGGGTGGAGCTGATTGGTTGACGGCAGTGGAATGTTCTTTATGGTGTGGGCCTAGTGGGCGGGTAAACAGTGCCATACTTCGTTCCACTGATCAAAGGACACGATATGGGAGGCACAGGAATGTCACCTCTGTGCATGTGTTTCCAAGGAAGCAGAAAATCGTCCGGAACATGTGAATCAGATGAGGGGACACGGACGTGTACCCGTTAGCTCGTACAGCTAAAAGCCTGTTAGCGAAACCTCTGTCCCACCATCGTTTGATTTGATTTTAATGCCGTTAAATGTGACGTAAAGGAAAAATCCCATCAGAGGAAGTGACCTAATGAGTCGGTGACATGCACCAGTGGCTGCTGTACCTTGACCCTGCTGGCAGTCTATTATTAGGTGATAGTTTCCATGGTGATTAATAGCCCAGTATGTGGATGCTGAGGGAGAACTTTACCCCTCTGCTCCACTAACTCTGAGGACTCGGTTATGTCATGTTGAGGGCTTAAAGTTCAACTCTGTGACGTGAAGCTGAAGATGAGAATTAGCAGAATAAAACAAAAGCCTGTTTGCAATATGCTGATAACAACTTGACAGAAACTCGTCAATTTTTTCTCACCTTGCGGTAATTCTTCACCGTGTTCCTCTTCACCACCTTCATTCCCTCCTCTTGCTCCCTCTTCATCCTCCTCTCCTCCTCTCCTTCCTCTTCTCTCCACCTCTTATTGTCTCTGATCAGGACCCGGTCATCCGCATCCTCCCGAATCGAGAAGTGAAGAAGCGTGGGCTCCTTCCCTCTTCCTGCTTTCTCCTTCTCTTCCTCCATCTTCTTCACTTTCTCCGTCTCCACTTCAACTACCACCCTGGTGCCCTCCAGGGCGCGTGGTTCCACTGGACTCTCTGTGCCCGAGCTGCGCCCATCATCCCGGGCCGGGTCCTCCTCGCCTCTCTCCACCTTCTGCTTCCTCCTGGAGCTCCTTCTCCACCTGCTGCTGCGGCGGCTGGGTGTCCTTTGGAGGAGAGTCTCCCCGTCGTCTTCCATCATCCCTTCATTGAGATCAAACGCCTCGACTTCCTCCCTCTCATCTGCCCCTGAAATGTGCACCGCACTTGGGCTCGGGCTGCTCGCCACGACTCCCCCGTCTCTGCTGCTGCTGTCCCCCCTCTCGTGACACATCTCCTCTACTTCTTCTACCCTCACCTCCTCTCCCTCTCCGACGGCCTCAGGCTCATCCAGGCGACAGTAGAAGCCGCTGGATTTGTCGAGGAACTTTGGCGCCCGGATGGAGCTCCGCGCAGAGCTTTTCCTGGAGTTCTTGCCAATTGTCATCTTTTCTCTTTCTGTCTCCTGTTTTTCTTTCACACTTTTTATTTTTTGTGCTTCACGGCTGAAAGACAGAAAAGGGGGGGGGGCAAGAGAGATCAGAGATTAATGTCGTTACATAACCCTCACTCATGAAAGGAGACCATAGATGGAAGCTAATGTCAGTGTCATGGGTATGTGTGACTGTCTGCATGTTTTATCTGTGAATGGTATGCACCGAAGTACAACATAGTATCTGCCTTCACAAGATGTTTAAGAAACCAAATAACAGACAATGAGCTTTGGAGTTTTGCACCAGTAGATCTGTTTTTGACTTCTCTCTGTGTGAGTGTGAGTGTGTGTGTGTGTGTGTGTAGGCCAGTGTTATCACGACCCTGATGATAACTGGATGTCAGAACTAAATACACAATGTTCTTAAAACCACAGTGCAAACAGGGGCTCAGACTTTGACACTTAAACTAGTTGGACGCTGTACAGCAGCCAGAATCAATGACTTCCATGTTGACTATCTCTCGTTCACAGTAATGTTAAAATCAAATTCACGGATTTTGACAAATACCAGAGAGAGGTTATTATCGGTGTCACAGCAGGTGATTTTCCAACAGCCAGCGAGGGCTAAACACCTTCTGTCACATCGCTGATTTGATTGTTAAGTGAAAAACCCACAGAAAGCTGTGAAGGCTTAGTGTTAATTACACTTTAAATCTTTTACAAACCAACCTTACATCAGAAACAAGTCTGCACAAATTCCGTTCTATCGGAGTGAACTTTTACATTTTTCATCCCAGTATCTACGTTTGATTACAATCAAATTATTAATTGTCGTTTGGCCCTACATTCATTTATTTAATACATTAAATACTTTAAAATATGAGCAGTGACTTTTGTGGGAATTGTGCGCTAAGCGGGTAGAGATATGTCAGGTGTCACACAATCTGTCCAAAATCAAACCATCGCCTAGTGGCCCAGATAACAAAGATAAAGGAGGAAACTAAAAACGGAAACAGAGGGTGAATGTAACAAGGACATCTAAAATCTAATAACACTATGTTGAGAATGTAGACAAAGCAATCAATGTGATCGGTAGAGCAGCAAGAGCGAGAAAATCAGACAAACAGGACTGACAGACTGAATTTAACACCCTGAAATTTATTGTTAGAGGAAACAAGAAAGCTGTGACTTGTTTTCTTACATAAACTTTTTCTTACATAAAGCAACTTTATGGTAAGTGATCTAAAAAGAATGTCATAGAGGAGCAATAAGCAAAATGCAGATACTTTTAGATAAGAAAGGGTTGCTTGTCTTACCTGATCTGTTGCTGTTGTCTCCTCTCTCCTCCTGTGTTTGTGTTTGTTTGTGTATGTGTGTGTGTGTACATCCAGTGTGTGTGACTGAGTGAATGACTGAGAGCTGGGAGCTCAGGATACTCCCCTAACACACAGCGTCACACACCCACCCTGCCCGAACCTGCACGTCTGTCGTCAGCAAAGCAAATACACACATGCAAAAAGGGCGCGCACACACACACACACACACACACACACACGCACCAGAGCACTCTCACTCTCAAGGACTCTTTGTCTCTCTCTCCCTCCCTCTTTCTCACTCTTTCTACTGAACCACGCATACCTCCTCCATACATCCTTAAACAATCATTGAGTTGGAGATAAAGTTCTGATTTAGAGTCAGAACCTACGTGCTTACACATACATGGGCACACACTCATACACACACACCCACACACATAGGCCTTTCAGCTCAAGAAATATCCTTCCATTAGAAGCAAACATCCTACTCTGATATCAGTGGCTGTCAATCATTAACCACGAACGTCCTCAGCTGTCACAGATAAACCTGCAGAGAACACAGATGGGGATTTCAGTTCCACTTTAACCCCAAAGGCCACTTTCAACATACATTCCAGCTTCTACACTCGATAACACGTGGGCATGATGGCAGTTCATGAACATGTTCAAAACAATATGACAATATAACTGTACCTGAAGTCCTTACATGTGGCAGTTTTCCACCTGTAGCTGCTTTAATCACGCGAACTAAGCTCACTGATATATTGGTCCAGTTTAACTCAATTTATTTGCGTCTTAAAATATATATTGTTCTCAGTTTTAAAGCCAGAAGATCATAAAGTTTTAAAGCACATGAAAGATAGCACCTTATATCAGACTGTCAAAACTAACTAGTCAGAGGTAATTTATAGACTTTAGATGAATTTAAAGGGCCTTTATTCATTTATTACCCATTAACAAATGTGTATAACATCCCCATGAATTATTTTTTTAATCTTACTTTTTAATCCATTATTATTAATAATGAAAGGTAATTTATTGTTAACATTGATAATATTCGAGATTTAAAAAATTTGTTTTGGTTTAAGGCAAAGTGTGACCGTACTTTAAAATGTCTGCCTCTGAAATAAAGGAATTTGCCTCTTTATCTCCAGTAATGTGTTAAAAATAGGAGTCTCTGGTATATCTGGTAAGCTGGTATATCTTAATGGAATGTATGTGTGTGTATAGATACAATGAACTAGCTTTGGTCACTGAATGTTATCTCACTGTTTGGATGGTAAACACCATGTCTGGGTGGGACAGGTAATGGGAGCTGCTCAGCTGTGTGTGCGCGTTAGGTAATTATCTACATGTTTGTTTTTTAAGTTAGCTTGAGGATGTGCTCACACCTTCTTGTACATGCACACACATGCATACTGTGCAACTTTGAGGACACACCGACATCGGTAAAACACACAGAGAAAAATAAACACATAAAATAGAGTGTTATAAGAGTGAATGCATGAAAGTGTAGATACTTTAAAAGGTTACTGTGACTAAACTACTTTCTAGTACCACAGGTAGTCTAGTCTACAGGTGTGTGTGTGTGTGTGTGTGTGAATCATTGTGCTATGACTTCATCTTTTCTTCCTCCCCTCCCAGTGCACCATCATCTTCTGTGTGAGTGTGTGGTGGGTGGCGAGGTGGACTCACACCTTTATAGCACTCCATATATAGTCACCAAGCAGGCGACGTCCCTGCGGAGAGGGTGTAGCAGCTGTCAATCACATTGGCCTGTAAAAAACCTCAGCTGCGTTTGAGGTCAGAGAGTCTCCGCCCAGGTGGGTAACCTTCAAGCAGCGACATGTTAGGGTTTTGGTGCTAAAACACAGAATTAGATGACACTGACACTAGATGTTGGTGGGTAAAAAAGGTAGACGAAAGTGTGACAGGATTACCTGACTCACTCTGAGAACAGATGTGCTGCTGGCTGCGCTTCAAATCACAGTGAGCAGGCAGTCGAGACTCGACTTCTTTTGTCAAGTCAGCATTTCTTTAACTAGTATGGGTCAGAATCCAAAATGTGTTGCAAGAGAAAATCGTTCTGTATTCGGACTGTCAGCAAATTCCTCCCAAACACTGATCACATATCAGCACCGACAGTAAATATAAGAACCACAATTTCGTCCTGCAAACAGTTAAAGAGCAAATTTAAAAACAATTTTAAAAAGGCATGAATAACTGACGTATAAATAAAAAGGCCAAAATACAACGACTAATGTTTTACATCATCTTGGTTTATTTTCATGACAGACAGAGATTATCACATTGTTTAATGTAAAGAACAATATTACAGTAATAAATACATAATACACCAGTAGAGCACTGACTTACAGGCACTAATCACACTAAAGCAGGCACTAGCTGTTTTTACAGTATTATACAACAGCAGCCAAGGAGCACTTGTTTGAGCTATAATGTTATGTTGCTCTTTATTCTTACAAATTCTGAGGATGTCAGGGGAAAATAATCAAGCACAGCTCGAGTCATTCAATGCTATTGAACCACTGCTACTTTAAAGTACCAGGGGTTTCCTAGTAAAAACAATTCAAGTCTTTTTATTGCCATTATTAAAGCATGAATATGTAACATGGACAGCGTGTTTTGTATTTGCGTGTTTTGCTTTACACGAGTTTCAGTAGTGTTGTTCCCTTAGTCAGGGCTTTCTTAGCTACACTGGGTGTGGAACTGTTGCGTCTCTGTATCATAATAAAAGCATAATAAATACAAGGCAACAGCTTTTAAGCATTGTTCTTAATTATTCTGTGAGTAATTTGTAAGCATATATGTTTGCATGTATGTTATGGATATTGTTTACTGGGAAAAAAATGCACCTTTGCTCCACAATAGTATTACCTTGATAACAAATGCAGACTTTTTGATTAGACAGGTTGTATAAAGCTTATTATCATGCAATGATGGTGACGTTGTTGTGACATGTGACTAAAAAACGCATCAATGTGGATGATTGCGGACACTAATCAGGCTCAGCCATAAAAAATAATCACCAGGAATGAGTTACGCTGCAGGATTTAAACTGAGCACAAGTAAACGTGTGAAACCCTACGAATGAGGTAAGCATGGACTCTGTACTAAGACGCGTCGCTCCTCAAGCTTTAAGGAGTCATGTATTGGTGGTGGAACTGCATGCCGTTAAAAAAAAATATGAAAGAACTGGCGCCCCCATCAGGCAAATGTTTAAACTCCAGACTCGTCCTCCACTGTCACTAAAAGCAAAGAAAACCCTGATACACACACACTAACGTTCACTGTTGTAACAACACACTCACTCAATATATACACACACGTACATCGACTACCTGACACACAAAAGAGCAGATAAGTTTAAATGTGACCTCGAACAGATATTTCTGTTTTACAGTATTTACAACACAGAGTTATATATGCAGCCTTAGACAGCAGAGTACGCTTTACAATGTGTGTGTGTGTGTGTGTGTGTGTGTGTGTTCTTTAGACCTCAACTGCACGGTCTGAACCAAGTCCCTGAGCCTGCAGAGCCTCCTCTCTCTTCATCTTGGGTTTCTCTGTCCGTGTGTGCCACACCAGCACCTATAAAAACACACAGAATTGACAAAAAAAATTAGAAAATGAATTTTGCTTACAAATATACTGCAAATGACCCAAAAAATTATCTCTATCGGCTCTTCTTTCCTATTACGCACATACATGATGATAGTCATCTTTAATTCAAGTCCTGCCTTCTCTCTTTCTCATCATCTTTCTAACACACGTTCGTACTTTAGAGCAGTTGTCCGCTTTCGGCTCCAGTTCGTCCATGGTGACCAATCCCTGAAGGAAGCTGCTCTCCAGGAAGCCCATTGGTGCGTCGCCGTCAAAACAGGCCTCTGGATTGGCCAGGACCAGTTTGAGGGACACAGCGAAGCCGGCCATGTCCATCGGGAAGGGGCGACTGGGACGCCAGCCAGTATGGAAGCGAACCACCTTAGAAAAATCACAACAACAACAAAAAAAGTATCGATCTGTGTGCAATTTGGTCAATTCATTTCTTAAATTAAGCAAAACAGCTCATCAGCATTATTCATCTTAGACTTGTTCCTTCAGTTCCACAGTTAACTGAACATAATATAAAAAAGGAGCATCTACCTTTCCTTCTTCAACCACGGGCCTCTCGTATTTCATCCCTCCGACCAGCCCCACCGGCCACACAGACACTCGCTGGGTGCTCCTCATCTGACACAAGACAAGAGCAACTTTGTTTTTCTTCGTCAATCATGGCACATTTAAACACTCACTTCCTTTATCTGTAGACTAACAAACTAAACCAGTCCCTGTGGACGACATGCTGAGGATTAATACAAATAAACACGTCTACACTCCGACACCCACCTCTTCAAATATCTGCAGGCTGTAGGTGTTATCGTCGTCAGCGAAGTAAACCACTCCCTGCTGGTTGTCTCCTCCTGGCTGAGCCCTTCTGTCCTCTCTGAGCCACCGTAGACCCTCATTCCGCTGCTCAACTCCGCGGGGCTTCAGCCAGCTGGGGTCACCCTGAGGTGGAGAGTTAGCATTCAGACCGAAAGTTTTAAAAACACGCTCTTTTGTTCACACTTAAACGGCTGCCATGTCTCTACCCACCTCCTGCAGTTTGCGGTCCTTGGCGGTGGGCATGTGTAGGTGTGTGTAGGCCAGGCCACTCTTCACCAGGAGGTCAGACACCAGCGGCGTCTTGTGTGGCGAGTCCTCCACAACGATCCAGTGGAGCTGAGGAACATGGAGGAAGGTCTGGGACAGACGAGTCAGCTCGGCCTTCTGCACCAGCCTGGGCAGAAATCAGAGGAATAGTGTGTTTGTGTGTGAAAGAGAAATGGACAGCAATAGAGGAGGGTGGAGGTGAAGTAGGCTAGTGAGCCGGAAAGGAGGTAAGGAAACCAGCCTCCCTGGGCTACCTTGCATATGTTGGGGTGATGACAAAGATGGTGGGCTTAGCGGGCTGTTTCTGTGGTTGCTTCGTCGCGTCAGACTTCCTTATCTGCTCCTGAAAACGATGGAGCTCCCCCCGCAGCCGAGATATGGTACGGTCTTTAGGCATGTCGTGCTCTGTGCAGTCGCAGCGCTGACCTGCAACGCGTTTGGGACACAAGACAGACAAGTCAGCTTAAAGTACAAACGCTAAACCTCTCTTCCCAAACTTTAAGATCAGGCTTATTGGGAAATGGGATCTTCAATACATGTTTCCAAAAATTAAAGGATCAACATGGCTAATAAAGCAAATAAAGCTGATCACTTCCATGTGTTTTGGGGTTTTCCCCTCTATTGATCTTTAATCGTCTTTACTTTATTGTCAAATCAATCAACACATCAGTCTGTCATGGACACAGCCTATTATACCTATGGATCAAGTCTTCATGGACCTTTTTCACAGCAGACATTTTGACACGTCATAGTAGGAAAATAGGAAAAGCACAAATATATTTAATTACATTATGATAGCTGCATTCCACTTAGTGGGGGCCCTGATATGGTCTGTGGTGGCTCACTAGTGTCGCTCTCTGGGACACTTATTAGCACCGAGCCATCGTTAATGTGAGCACCTGTGCTTTTCCAACTACAATGTTTAAATTATAAATGTTTTAAATGTCTGCTGTAGAAATAAGGCCATTGAGGCTGTGTGGTGACCGCTCACCCAGCTGCATCAGCGCATAGACGAGGCCCATGAGGGAGACCATGAAGTAGAGCACGAACACGGTCTTCAGCTTCAGCTTCATCCTCGCTGCCATGGTACCCTGACCTGCTGAAAGGATGACAACATGGTAAACATTACCACTCACAAAGCATTACCCTGAGGATTGTTTTATTTGTATTTCATCACTTGGTATTTTTGTCTCGAGGCTATGGTAACTAACTAAAATGGGCCACAATTCTGGTCCTCAATTACCACTCAACATTAAGCTAACTAGCTAAGAGGGACAGCATTCGCATTCAATTTTAACCTTAAAATCAGTGTTAGCTAGGCTATGTTAGCTTGACCATTTCTTTTAACAGAAAATAGCTCGACTCTCATTTTCCTTCACTTACCAGAGGCGGGAGATCTTAGAAGACAGGAGCGGTGGAGTCGACTTATGAGCAGAAAGGTTCATTTCATCTTTGACAAACGTGAGCAAAGGCACCTCAGTGCATCAAAACGTCCATTCATTTGCCTAAGCAATGTACCAACAACTTCCGGTTTCGGTGCAACACGGTAAGGAGCCCCCCTCAGAACGTGTACAATCACGTTAATAGTTCCACGTGATACCTGCACAATCGACAGTTTACAAAACAATCATTTTAAATTATTGTAAAGGGTGAAAAGCACTTAATTATTTCCAATATTTAATGCCTGCAACCTTAAGTATTTTGCGGAAGTCCATTTCCACCAAGAACAGACAACTGATGAAAAGGTGGGAATGATAAAAAATTAAACGATTGTACGATGCTAAGGTAATATTATAATATAGTGATTTATAAGTAATTTAGGTATTTTTATTCCCTTTACCAGGCAGAGGTGGGCCTCTATATATTCCACTGTTTAGTCCCTTGAAAAGAAAACTTCAAGATCATAAATGACAAAAAACAAACGGGCATCTCTTGAAAAGTCAAACAACTTTCCTTTATTTGTAACATACAAATAAAACACTGACAAGGCAGAATGACTTAGTTTTCCCTTTCATTGTCGTTCATGGACAGGACTGTAACACTCACTCTCAAACATGGAGCTTCACTTTCAACAACATGTTTAAAAAGTGTTTCACCTGTAAAAGGCCAAGAAATGAAAATGAAGATGGATCCACAACAGCTTATATATACACACACACACACACACACACACACACACACACACACACACATACATACACAGAGAAAGGACCAAGAGAAGGATCAGTGATTTTGTGAGGGTTTGTAACCATTTTCCAAAATAAAAGCACTCACTGACTTAAAATAAGCTGGTTGAGTTTAGGCTCATTTTTAAACTTAAGATTTTTTCACAAACTGATTTTTACTTCCAGTGAGCCTTTTTTTTTTATTTTAAAGACAGCCCACCTATCTGGATTTAATGTAAACACTGCGCACTGATCTAGGGTCAGTTCAAACTTTGTGTCATTCACTTTCACATTTCCAAGACAGAGGAGCTTCTTCCTTTTTACTGTAACACATCGTAAAAATACTACGGCATGACACACAAACAAAAAAACTGACTCTAGGTCAGAGCTGGGGCCAATCTAATCCAGCTGACATGGCTGTTAAATAAAACAGATGAGGTTTGATTACGTTTGATTAACCTGAGAGAGAGAGAGAGAGAGAGACTGTCAGTCGGTTGATATACTACCACTATGTACAACATCCCCTTTGTATTGTAACCTATGCAGTACAAAAAAAAGACTTACTGTACTTATCAGAAGGTAGTCTAGGACTAAAACAAGCACTATTTTGTTGTTCATGATCAAACAAGCATGAGACACCAACATGTGGTCTTGAGGTGCTGAATACTTTATAAGTCTCTACCCAGTCTAGAAGCAACCACAAACTTTCACCCCACGATCTGGATTTGTCATCCAAAATTCATTTTTTTTTGTTTTTGGTGATACATAACATTTTGATCTTTTGTAACACGGAGTATTTCTGTATCTAGGTGCAAGAAAGAGTCCGTCGACTTCATATTTCAGTCTGCCCTGCTTCACATACTTTCGTCTGAGACAAACCTCAAGTTGAGCCTCGATATGACCGTTAAAAAAAAGAACAAACGTTTCAAAACGCACCAATTAAAGCCCTTCACAGCCACACGACATGGAGGAACCTTTACATCCACAGCAGAAAGGTAAAGTGATATTATTTTACATCTCCAGCCCACAAGGACAATCTGTACAAACCGACTACAATCCTGGAATCAAGAAGGGTTTGATGGTGGTTTCTAGACGGGGCTTCTTATCCGGGAGACCAGCACGCGAAACTGTCCAAAAATACCCTGAAGGTTTTGTAAACAGACATGGAATTAAACAGATCGACGGCAATGTGGCATCTAAAATCCAAAGTGGAACAGGAACCATGTTCCACGTGTACGGTACAAATCTTATCGTACGGACTTTAAGGAATACCGAATGTCAGCACTCACTTTCAAATTTCACACAGCTCCCTCATCACATATTTCTAACATGCACTGAATTATGGGACACTTGTTCAAAACAGCGCTGTTGATCATGATCTAGACTACGAGTTTTGTGTTAACACTTCTAAACTTTGTCATACAATCTAATGACAGTGGGGCCGCAAAACGGGTGCTAATGAGAAGAAGAGGAATAACGACCATTTAAAAACAAAACAAAAAAAAAAAAACACTTTCGGTGCTCTGCAATCACTTCCATCATCCATCCATCCGATCTGTGTTCCCTCCTCCGAAGCTAAAAGCATTCATCAGCCTCAGGCGGCCACATAATGAAACGGTGACTTCTACCGATCCTCATCCATGTTAAATCAATATGATTCGCTCATGCTAACAGACTATGTAAGAGAAGGGATGGAGGATGGTTCTGTAGTATTTTTTAAATACAGCTAAAAAAAGGTAGCGTCAACATCAACTTGTTTATCATTAGTACCTCTTGGAAAGGAAGCGAACGGAGAGGCGAGCGGGAGTGATGCAATTGTACAATGGGGGGGTGGGGGACTGAAGATGAGAGCAACATGAACGGGTCCGCAGTCATCGACCGGGACCTCGAGGACACGGAGGCAGAAAGAAGAGGAGAAAGCAACGGACTGGGAGGATGCTATATTACAGATGTGAACACACGTTATGGCGAGGGCGAATCTGTCAGCGTGGAAACAATGACATGCAACTCTGATTCAGAAATGAACTGAGGGAACATCTGAATGAGCAAGAGAGTCCGACTGGGATTAAGTTGACAGCAGCAGATTTTAAGAATGGGCCGATGTGGAGTTTGCTGCTAGCTGCACTTCACTTGTTACAAAACCACTTACAGGCCATATTTGGATACAACAGGTGGTATCACGGTACAGCAGGGTTTGACTGTTTTCTGGGACCCAGATGTGAGTACTTTAGGCCTAATCGTGGGACCCTGGTTCAGTGACACAAGCTGGTAGTCTCAGTGTGGGGGGGCCCCCCAAAAGAAATCCGGGGCTGTATAACAGAAACCGACTACATCTTCTTATGTGATGGGAACTTGAACGAGGGCGTGATTTATTTAGAAAAATGTACGGCGACGCCTTGACTTGAGGTAGTGAGTTTCTATAATACAGCCTCAGGCCGGGTCCCGAGCCACAGTTTAAGAAGCGCTGCAGGGTGATTGAATACAGCACACGGCCCGTTAGGAGACCAGGCTCATTGTCGTGGTAAAGAATGTCAGCCATGACTTTGCTTTTTCTTGACTGGGAACTACTAATTGTCGTCAGTAACTGGGATAAGAGAATGAAGGCTTGGACATTGAACCAATAAGGAAGAAAGAACAGGAGCCATGTGTGAAAGCTCACACTGCTTTTTGGAGCAGGACCACCCACACACACACACACACACACACACACACACACACACACACACACACACACACACACACACACACACACACACACAAATCCATAATGCGACACCAATACCTGTTGCCAGGTATTCCGCCGTGGGTTCACTTTTAAACGGCACTCTACAGCCGGGGGGAGGGCAAACTCAAAACGCTTGCGGAGTAGCAGGCAGCTCAAGCTTTCACACACAGCCACGAAAGTTGCTGGCTTTTTAACCAATCATAAAAAGGGTGGAGCCGGAGCGGATCAGTGGCAGCAGCCCCCGCAGTGGCCACCCCCGTGGGTGTGTCCCGCCGAGGCCTCGCCGTGTTTGGTCCGCCGGCTGAGGATCTCGTAGGAGCAGTCGTCGCCGCAGCAGCCGGACATGCTCGGCGAAGTCTCGTCGATCTCAAACCTAAGAGAGAGAGATGTTTCACATTCCAGGTCTGTCCTGTAATGTTAAAAACAAACATGGCCTTTGCAGAGCCGGTACACTCACTGTAAAGCTTCTCTGAAGAACTGGTAAGCCCCGTGGTTGTGTTTGAAAACTGTCAACATCACTTTCTTCATCTGCGTACTGGACGGACAGAGAGACAGAGAGAGAGAGAGAGAGAGAGAGAGAGAGAGAGAGAGAGAGAGAGAGAGAGAGAG